TCGCTGGTTCTTACTATTCCGATTTGCTTTTTGCTTGGTTCAATTTGTAAACAATCCTAGCCAAAAAGATAACTCTGAAACTAATGTATTATCCAAAAGCGTTTGGTTGAACGACGATATTACAATTGGTAAAAGACCAGTCTCATTAAAGTTATGGCATAGTAAAGGAATAAATTTTATGAGTGATCTTATTAATGAAAAAAGTTCTTTTCATCTTGAAGAATTCAAACAACATTATGACATTAATGTAATTTTCTAGAGTTCAACAGCGTGTTAGCATCTGTCAAAGCATATTGCTGTGGAATGGGTTTTCAAAATTTTTAAACAAATCTGGAATATCCTTTTATGCCATTTAATATCATACAATCTACTTAAAACAGTAAAAGGAAATCGATATTATTATTAAACTCTAATACAAACTCAGCGGGAATGGGAATTGATATTTGGAGAAACAGTACTGGAACCTGATAGACAAAAAAATAATATGATTCCAACTTAATGTCCGCAAATTTCTAAACAGCAATAAATTGTTTCAATATCCAAGTCTTGACTATATCATACCAACAAATTTCTTACTTTTTAGATGAGATACTAGCAATTTATGTGGTTATTGTAATAATCAACGTGAAACAGTTGATCATCTGTTTGGTCTTGCAACCATGTGAGTTCCATCTGGACACAATTTGAAAAATGGGTCAACCAGAAAGCCGATTTATCCACTAAACTTAACAAAAAAGATATACTTGTTGGCTCTCTACTACCAAATTTTGGACCGATAAATCGTTTAATAAGTGTATGCAAAGAATTTTGTTTAAAAAATAAAACATATAAAAAACTAATAAATTTTTGAAATGATTCAGGAAGAACTCACGTGCTTTTATTACTTCACTAAATACACAGCAAAAATGTATGGACATCTAAACCAATTTACTAAATTCTGGTCATCTTGTCACCTTTTGTTTATATAGACAATCTATATACATGTGCAACTGTGTACAAATGCAACAAAAAATATATAACAAAAATACATGATATTTTAGTCCATCTTCTCAGACTGGATAATGACATTAATAGTACAATTCTAAAGTGGTGTATCTCCTATCTTTGTGACAGATCTCAATCAACAGTCATTAGAAACAGTCTCTCACACTGCTTTTATGCGGCGTCCCTCAAGGCTCCGTTCAAGGGCCTCCACTCTTTACCCTAAACACTAAACCTTTGAGAAACGTACTGATCATGAGATTGACCACTAGTTCTATGCAGATTTTTTCCCAGCTGACAAAAGATTTGCTGTGGATAGAGCAAGCCAAGAGGAGACATTAAATGCTAAAACGTAATATAGACAAACCTGAGGTAACTGTACTTTCTACTCCAGATTACAGAAATGCTGCAGCAGCAGTTTAACAGTTGGTCAGGAATCCATTACAATCTCACAGTTCGTTGAAGATATTGGAGTCTTTCTTGACTCGTCCTTAACCATGGAAGACCAAATCAGTATCTATGCCACTTTCACTTCAGGAATATTGGTTATATTCGGCATCTTAACACAATGCCATCGCAACACGCATGGGATCACATGGACTACTGCAACAGCCTACTCTATGGCATAACAAAGGATTGCAAAGACTTTAATAAGCGGTACTTAATCTGCCAATAAAAGGCACACTATCAAGCCACACTTCTCTAAAAATAAATTTTGCATTTCTCTCATTAATACTAACTATCAGCCCACAACGAAGCTACCATATAATATATTCCGAAAAGAATTACGTATTAAGAATAAAATTTGAAATTAAAAAGTTCGAATGAATTAATGCAACGTTTCATTAAATTGACTTTCGCGCCCTTTACCGACCGAACTTTATTTCAAGCGAGTTATGTCCCTTGGAACGCTCTTTACGAATATCTTATAACGCAACTTGTGATTGAGCCACTCGCCCCTTTCCGTAACCTCCAAGAAGACTCGTCCCCCACTCGATACTTGTTATGTGCGAAAATACGACAAACCAATCAGAACGCGCGTAAATGACTGCGGTGCTTTGATAAAAAATAATCCCGAGTACTTAAATCGTTTATGGAATTATGTCATTGTTTAAAGAATCATGAAAAATATATATCGTCATATTGAAAGTACAAAGAACGTAGCTAAAAGGATTTTGCTGCCTATTATGAAGTTTTTAATAAGAATCATGCGATTGACGGTGAGAGATTCAAATACACGCACGTGCGTTTGTTGACATAACTGCTCTCATGGGTCCAACTGAGTGTATTTCTGACGATCTTGCGGGCTTGTTATGGAGATTGTACGTGCGCTTCGACCAATTTTAGGAAATGTAATGTCGCTGGGGTACGATTTCACTATAACCCAGATTGTGAACTTTAACCCTATTGTAGTCAAGAGAGTGACCGGCTTGTGTAACAGGACACTCGTGTATCACAGCGCAAACATCAAAATGGATGAAATGAAGAGTGAAGACGGAACATTCACTGTAAGTAAAAAACTTTGGAAACTGATTTTTTCACAACAATGTTACTGAATACATTTTGTTCATTTGACCGGTGACACATTTACGTAGGTAGGAAGGTTCTATCATTTTCTTGGTCAAAGGACTCAGAGGCGGATACAGCTTTTTGTAGAAAAAGGGGTCGGGTGGGGTATTGGGTTTGGGGGTGCACAGTTCATTTCCACGAGAGTTTCAATGGTGATTTGATAAACTTTCACCCCTGCACACACACACACACCACACACACACCCCGACCCCACTACCCCGACCCGCCTATGAAGGTGAATGACCAGTGATAACGGTTATCTGTGACCTTATTTCCGTACTAAGTAGCAATGTCATGATCCCTCCGTGAATGCTATATATAAATTAACTCTCCTACCAGGTTTATTCATCTGAAGCTCGATATCATCTATGAATACACAATGCTGTCTTAGAAAGTGGCTGAACGGGTTAGGCGGCTGACTTTGTGTGCTGGCGATTAGGCGCCTGGGACACCAGACACGGGCTCTACACATTGTTCCCATGTGGGGAATCGTACCCTGTTTTTCCGCGTGACGAGCGAACGCTTTTACCACTAGGCTTCCCCACCTCCCCAACCCTTGGAGTTGCTACACGTTTTTATACACGGTATTATGAAATAATAAAATAACGTTGACGAAATCTTGAATAACAATCAAATTGAAAGCGTGCACATTTGTTTAATTTTGACTTACCTACTATGTAAGGACAATGGAGTTGGGGAATTCCTAATATTTGATATGTGAGTGAGTTTAGTTTTACGCCGCACTCAGCAATATTCCAGCTACATGGCGACAGTCTGTAAATAATCGAGTCTGGACCAGACAATCCAGTGATCAATAGCATGAGCATCGATCTGCGCAATTGGGAACCGATGACATGTGTCAAGCCAGTAAGATCTGACCACCCGATCCCATTAGTCGCCTCTCACGACAAGCATAGGTTACTGAAGGCTCATTTTAATCCTGAGCTTCACGGGTGAGTTGATATGTTTTACAATTACATGAAAGATATAATATTTCCTAGGTATCTGGGCAGATGTTACCCTTGGATTTCAGCGGACAACACTTGGTTAAAGTTACAGATCGAAGCGGCCAAGCCATAACCTATCAACTATTCCAAGGGGTGCATTACACACCAATGTTTGACGTCAAAATACTTCAACAAATCAAAGGTTTAAACATGAGGCCAGACGACATATATTTCACCGGATATCCCCGTACAGGTAAATTCAAATTCAAACTCCAAATATCAGTCAATTTATTAATCCCGCTGGATTGAAAATTAGCGATGGCGCAAGCCCTTTTTTTAGCGTTTAAAATTCCCGCCTGCCCGACCGACCGGAACGGTCTATTTTCATCTCGGACGGTCAAATTTCAAAAGTAGCCTGTCCGGTGGTCTGGTAGATATTTCTCTGATCTTGATTGTGAGGCAGAAAATGCAACAGATTTCTAGTTTGTAAAACAGGCCATGTACCTTAGGCTTAACGTTACAATACATGAAGTAAAGTATTCAGAAACCTGATTTTATTTTGTTTTTTTATTCTTGAAAACCGGACAGGCAAGTTTGTATCCGGACTGGTAATTTTTTAAAGTGACCAGTCCGGCTGTCTGGCTTGGAATTTGGGAGTTTTCAACACTGCCTATTTACTGTAGCGGTATCACACTGCACAAATGCGTCATGTTGACAATACATCTGATCGTTAAAAAATAAATCCATAATGGTCATATTATCCATAGTAAATGCACAGTCTCCTGTACATTTTTTTATATCATGATCATGTGTATGTGCATGTGCATGTGCATGTGCATGTGCATGTGCATGTCCAGAGTAGATTTGCTAATATAGTCACAATTGTACAATCGACTCTACGTTTAGCAGAGATTCCTTCTGGGTGTGGAAAGGGTTTTATCCCTTCTATTGGACCTTTATCCAGTTATTGCCAACCACTAACCGTATATTAATTGAAAATAGTGCTTTGTTTATTTATTATGTAAATATAAAGAAAAAATGACTCTGCTGTTGAACATTGTATATACTTGTACTATGGTCCCGTGGCCTTCAGTTCCACATAAAGCTTGATTGATTAGAACATTATCAAGCAGTAACAATACATTTGTCTGAATATTTACCATAAAATTTCTGGAATGACTTGACCAGAACATTAATTGGAAAATCTTGAATGAAAAGCTCTAAGTAAAAATGAGCTTTTCAGTGATTTTTTGCTCAGCTGAGAATCGATAAACTGTCAGGCCAATCAGGGTTTATGTTCCTCTCTTGTGAACCAAATGTCAGCTGGTTTTGACATGTTAGTCTCAATTCTTCTTTTTCAAAGGGACAAATTGGACATTTGAAATGACAAGCATGCTTCTTAATGGTAAAGCTGAAACCATCCAGAAAGCGAAGGATCTCATGGAGTTAACTCCTCATGATGAACTTGCACAGCTGCCATCACCGCGCATCGTCAATTCTCACATGAAGCTGTCCGACTCTCCAGATGATGTAACAGCTCTGAAGTGCAAAGTCATCTACACTATGCGAGACCCAAAGGATGTTGCTGTCTCTCTGTACAAACTCTATTATAACAGACCGTTCATCTTAGGTAGATATCTGGGATCTTTTGAGGATTATTATCAACTCTTCCTGGATGGAACAGGTCTGAAACTTTCTTCACCCCTCAAACTATAGTTAGGTTAACTATCGACTCATTAGTAATGGAATAAAATTGTTGGGTCACACAAGACATCATTTCTATAACCATCCTATATGTTGCTCTGATACCACACAGCTGTGGAGAAGATAAAATGTGTCGTTTTGTTAGCAATCCTCCTAATCATGCGAAAAGATATGAAAAGAGTTGTTATGACTTTTAGTGAGTCAGTGATTATGGTTTAACGCCGCTTCAAGCAATATAACAGCGTGGGGCACGAGAAATGGACTTCACAAATTGTACCCATGTGGGGAATCGAACCCAGGTCTTCACCGTGACGAGCCGACGCTTTAACCATCAGGCTACCCCACCGCCCCACAAAGCTTTTAAGTGCAGAAAATAGGAAAGAACACAAGTCTTTTCGGAATTATTCATGCTGTCAATAAAACAATAACAATCGGGGTAAAAAAGGACATCCTTGTCGTAAGAGGCGACTTACGGGATCGGCTGATTAGACTCGCTGACTCGGTTTAACACGCCAACATGCTCATGATGTCCCTCACTGGATTTCGGATCTAAAATCGATTATTTAAAGACGACTGTGTGTGGAAAATTACACAATTCGGCCTTAAACAACAACCAAACAAATAGAAAAAAAAGACGCATACAAAACGTACTGGGGTATGTATTGGTTAAAGTATCCACTTGAAAGTCTTGGTTTAACTACTCAGGTGGATAAAACTTGTTAAACCCATTTCACACCTCGATTGTGAAAATGCAGAAAGCTACACTTATCAATGCATACCGTATTTATAGAAATTTAAGTTATGTGATGCCAGTAAATTACATGTAGTGACGAGTCAAGTGCAAATCATGTGAAGTAGGTCATCCCAAGTTGATTGTACAATGTTTAAGTTAAGTCAGTTTTTTATCTTTAACTTGTTTCTGAAATTTCTTATAACGGAAAGTGAGTTCCATTCAAGGCAAACGTCGCATCGGCATAATTGCAGCCATAGCACGACAATAATGTGTAAATGTGTAAATAGAAATTCAAAGAGTCATAAACTCAAAGATATTATATAGATATGACTGAAATGTTGCCAAGGTGACGTTAAGTTTTAACTCACTCACTCACTCAAACCAAGATTTTGTCACACGTGTTAGAACATTTCCATAAATTTTACAAAGTTTCGGAAAATATAAGTTACCAACATCCAGAGTTGGGCACGGGGATTAAACTGAGGATTTTCCTTTGTTTCAGTCGACTGTAATGGCATATTTGAACACTGGAGAGACGCAGAGAAATATTTTACTCACCATCCTGAAATTCCAGTGCATTTTCAAAATTATGAAGAAGCCATCAAGGTAGACAGCGTATTTCCACATATGATATTAGTGCTATTGAGAACGTGCTGTCTCACGGTAATTTTTGCCTTAAAATATAATATATGAATTCAGGATAATGATGACATCAGAGTTGATAGCGTTCCAAGGTTTATTCAGATGCAGAATGAAGATTCAATAAAACATTTCAATTCATTTCAATATATAAAAAGTATCAAAATAATGATACAGTATTACAATAGACTGACGTGAATATATTATTTTCATCTTCATAATTATTAAGCTTCGCAGAACATCAACATGTTTTGAACATTACATTTATAAAATATTTCAATTCCATCATATGTATACATATATATGAACACATCAAATAATGATAAGGTACAGTATTACACATAACTGATACGAACATATTGTACTCATATATATAAAACATACTTAGCAAAACATCAGTGTATATTGGGCATTATATTTTTATGTACAGGTAGAACCTTACAGGAACATGCTTTTAAGTTCAGAGAACGGCAAGGTACTTTAGTGATTTCATATAAATTTCATATCATACTTATTATATTTTTGTGTGTGAAATATTAGTGAAATATTTGCACTACAACAATAATGACCAGACCCATGCCAGTTCGGGTTATGTTCGAAGCGACTCACCTGGTTCGCATTCGTGACCATTCGTGACAAACTCGTGTTATTCCGGGACAAGCCGAATAGCGACTCTTGGCCCTCTAGAAGAATTTTATATTGGCGGAGTTATATCAGAACTACTTCAAACAAGAACGATAACTCTATCCCTGTTAGATTCCAATGGTACTTAATATCACCGAAGAACTTATATCATACTGTTGGGTTTTCTTGTTCATTTCTTTCAATGACGTAATCCTCTTTGATACAACTGAACAAAGGAGAAAAAATGTTTGTTAAACGCATATTCTAATGTAATTATTACCAGAAATTCACCTTATATTTCCAAATATATACTTCTGAATAGGGTTTAAAAAACAAACAAACTTGGGATTTGTTTTATGGGATATGCAAATAAAATAATCTTTTTTAGGTTCATTAAATCCCAAAACAGATACTCAAAAATGATTTAAATGTACTCTAACAACTTAACAACCTTGCTGTAATACCCCTGCCGGTAAAATGAAGGCGGTGGAAAAAATGGAGGCCCCAATGAACGTCAGACTAAAATATATCCAGAGATTTGAAATGTAAGCCCAATGTTAAAGATTATAGTTGATAAGTTATATATTGTATCTATGTATTATATAAACTCGTAGCTATTTATTATATTTTCTGAACATTTTGGAAAGCGGACGTAAAATCTCCAAAAGGAACTCGCAAGATCGCCAAAAAACACTCGGTTACACCCATGTCAACAAACGCACGTATGCGTATTAGAATCTCTTTCCTTTCATGGCATTATTCTTATTAAAAACTTCACATTAAGCAAATTTTTTTGGTACTGTCAATATGATGATATATATTTTTCATGATTTTAAAAACAAAAAAACATACTGCCATAAACGATTTAAGTACTCGGGATTATTTTTATCAAAGCGCCGCCATCATTACGATAGTTCTGATTGGTTTGTCGTATTTTCGCACATAAGAATCGAGAAGGGGACGAGTCTTTTGGTGGTTACGGAAAGGTTCGATTGGTGACGAATGGAATGGGACGATGTTTTTGGAGGTTACGGAGAGGGAAAACTGGTGACAAATGACTTAGTTGATACAATGGGCGATCTTTTTATTCCGAAATGATGTAAGCGACGGTTCCGTACACAATGTGCTCTGAGACAACTTTCAATATGTAAGGACAGAGCCAAGCTCACGCGTTGCCCTGCTGCACCATCATTGACAAACAGCCGTTTACAACGAAATAACCCTATGTAACACGTGTTTTGCAGTGATTGTTAGTTTCCAACAGCATCGTTCGTTTAATCTCCATGTGCAATACGATGTGACACGATAGGAGATAACGAGGAAAACGCCATGGAAAATCGGAATAGTGTCACGGCATTCCCTACGTCAGACCACGAGATCGTGTTAGTATCGTGTAACATGGCATCGGGGAAATAATGAAAATCACTTAAAAATCAGCCCTTGTGTTATTCCCAACGACAATTCCTTAACTATTACCGCATTTAAAACTGACAAATAGTTATTTTCCTCCCACTGACCTCAAAGTAATAAAATCGGAGATATTATCTGCAGCCAACATGCATCCTCTGACACCCTCTTATCGCCGACTTATAATTATCATGCATCCATAACATTATTGGTAATTGAAGAAATACCTTGAACAATTTAACTGTTAGTAATAAATAACATTTTAGCTTTTGATCAGCAGTTCCTCACACATCTGATTTCAATATGGTTTTACAATACATTTCCAAAGTAAACTTGATATGTCCTGGGGCGCGCGGTGGGCGAGCTGGCTTAGGCGCCAGGCTTGTGATCCAGGGAGGTTGAGGTGCCGGGATGGAGCCCACGTGTGACCGAGTGTAAAAACCTTGGAGTGCAGATTCTTTCCGTGTTGTCACAACCCTATTTTTACAGTTCACAACCCCGTGCACGTAAAACAACCCACTATTCAGACCAGATTCAGATATATGACCAGATGGTGGCCACATGAATACGTGCAAACACCTAGTTGCGGGCACAGCAACGTGCAGTGAACTTGGACAAAGTAGTGTGACTATGTGTCCCAGGCGAGCCAGCTGTGAATGGGTACCTCGTTAGGATGAGAAAGCCACAAGAACTTGGTGCGCCTAGTGGCAGCAGGAGTTGTATACTCCCCAGGGTAAAAACTACGATGTGCCGTTGAGATTGACATCCAATGTTCGAGGTAACGAGTTGCACAAGTTGCGTGCATATGTGCGCTATATAGATATAATAATTAAAAATAATAATACTTTGCATCTATCACTCAATCAGTTAGTCGGTTGCAGCAGAGCTAACAAGACAAACAAATAATGGCCAAGAACATTTGACTGACTGACTGAGTTTAGTTTTACGCCGCTTTTAGCAATATTCCAGGGGACACCAGAAATGGGCTTCACACATTGTGCCCATGTTGATAATCGGACCTGGGGCTTCGGCGTGACGAGCCAACGCTTTAACCACTAGGCTACCCCATCGCCCTTCAATAACATTTGATGTGTAAATACAGTGAACTGACTAACGAAAACAAAACTGTGTTTATATTTTGCAAGATACCACTGCAAAAGTAATGACAAGGACGAATGCGTACTTTTGCACATTTGAGGACCTTGGTATAATTGTTCTATATCTTTTCTTAGGATCCTGTGTGCGCTGTACAAGCACTGTCCGACTTTCTTGGACTTCACAGAAATGATGATCTGTGCCGAGCCATTGCAGAGAAGTGTAGCTTTTCCAGAATGAAAATCGACAAGGAACCCTTTGCAATAAAACTGGACGGGGAACACTTTCTGTACAGAAAAGGTAATTTCATGAACACTGACTTTTTAAACAAAATCCACTGTTTTAGGTGCATCACAAAAAATCAGGTAAAATATCAATTGCAAACTTCGATCATTCACAGGTATGTAAGCGCAACGTTTGATAAAAGAGTAATCTCTAAAAAGGTGCGCAATAATGTGTTTCCTGACAACAAACGAGTACTGTGGAGAACTTCTATGACAATCATGATGTTTAAATCACATACCCTAGGAGTCGTTGGTGACTGGAAGAACTGGTTCAACGACCAGATGCTGGAAGATTACTACAGAGTGTACGAAGAAAAGATGGCGGGGTCCAGATTCTATGACACATATGCCAGGAGTAAACAGTAATATGTCTGAGCTTTCTGTTTATTTTCGGTGTGTTTTCAAATGTATCGTGATAATCGGAATTTATGCTAACCCTTTTTTTATTCAAATGGTCAAAACATTATAATATTGGAGACCCTTTATTTAGCAATATCCCACTAAACATAACTTGAACACAATCTTTGTCTAGCAACATCATACACAAATATACCTTCGTCGGTGTTGGGCATAGAAAAACTCACCCTGAAACAGTTCTGACTGGCTGGTCCTCCAGAATAAGGATTGCGTTCGTTTTCTTTGGATGCGCATTTCGAGGGTGGTGTTACAGCATTGATAGTATTGTTGTATCTTTACAGTCTCCACATCTGCAACAATTGACAGTAATGATTACAATTGTGCGTGACTTCTTAGAATGGAATTTAAAAGTTGGTCTGATGAACAACGGAGAGAGTTCCATGGACGTACAACTTCTATATTATTAATATGAGAGGCGTTTAGGTGTAGCTACTAGCAACGTTATGAACAATACTGCAGACACGGCTATGAATACATAATAAAGTTGCAGGAAGTTGATTGGTGTTTACACAATTAAAAGTGCTGATGTACAAGGTTAGAGGATGTTTACACAAGAAGGCAATTGTTATATAAAATATATTTGGACCCGTCCCAGCCCTAATACATATTGAAATACACAATGCCATTAAGTATTGTCTTGATTTTACATATTGGAGGTTGAGTTAACTTTGCTGTATCACTGTCGTCGTCTGTAAAATCGTCATTGTAAGTTGACCGCAGAGATTTCTAACCAAGAAATATCACAGCTGCCTATACTATTTGTGACTATCTTTGTATGTAAGCAATTGAGATCTTAGATGTACAACATAATACATAAGTACCAGTTGTAGATGTACAACCTAATGAAAACTCTGCCATGACTATGTTATCATTGTTGCTGCCTTCTTATCATAACAGTGATCCGTGAAGATCCGGGTTGGAATTGATCTTCAGTAGCCCATGCTTGTCGAAAGAGTCGACTAATGGGATTGGGTGGTATGACTCGCAGAATTGACTTGACACATGTCATTGTTTCCCAGTTGTGCAGATCGATGCTCATGCTGTTGACCACTGGGTTGTCTGGTCCAGGCTCAATTATTTACAAACCACCGCAATATAGCTGGAATATTGCTGAGTGCTGCGTAAAACTCAACTCACTCACTCACTCACTATTATAATATTGATTTAGAGATGAATAAAAACAAAATAAACTGCATGCAGTTTTCTGTTATATATAATGGCCGTTTTCTCCAGCAGCGGTGGCCGTTTTCTCGTGAGCGGTGGCCGTTTTCTCGATATTGTTTCGGCCGTTTTCGCTGGGGTCGGTCCGTTTTCACTATAACACGGACTGCGACCTTTCGACCTATCGCCCGGACTCTTAGCCAAGAGAGTGACCGGACAGTGTGGACACTCAGTGCTTCACAGCGCAAACATCAAAATGGATGAAGTGACGAGTGAAGGGGGAACATTCACTGTGAGTGAAAACGATGGTAGCTATCTTGTTTCACTACAATATTAATGAATACGTTTTTATTGAGCTGTCCGGTGACACATTTTCGTCAGAATGCTTTATTATGTTGCTGGTCAAAGGTGGGCGCGGTTATCTCTGACCTTATTCCTAAGTAGCAATGTCAACACCCGTTCGTGAATGTTCTATAAAATAATACTCTGCTGCCTAATATTTTTCTGAAGCTCTCTACCATCTACAATATAGAAAACGTGGTGATGGGGGGGTGGTGGTGGTTGAAAACAATACTACAGCTGTCATCTCACATATCAGTTGAAATAAATTCCTTGAGTGAGCGAGTGTGTGAGCTATTCCAGTAATATCACGGCGGGGGACACCAGAAGTGGGCTCCTCACCAGGGGCCTTTAACTTGTCGTAATGGGGTGGGGGTGGGGTAATGGGGGTGGGGTTTTGGGTGTGTTAGGGGGCACTATCCACGTTCGAGGCCGCTCCGAATTTTTTATGAATTAGATGCTCTCAGATGCAATTTCTTGCTTTATAAAGGTAAAATGAATCCATTTATGTAATCTCTAATTTTGTATAAATATTTTTTCCTGCTACGTTTGACCAAATGTTCGAAAATGTAGCATCTGTACATAACGTCATGAACTAAACTTTATAAATATGTTTAGACATATTTGTATACATGCAAAACAACAGTTGTGTTCAGTTTAAGTATAATAAAAAATAGTTGTATTATTAAATTCAGTCCAGAAATTGCACGTGGTAGTTACATCATATACATTATATCTTCAGGTTTGTGCAATATTTTGGAATTAATTATCATTAGGTATTGCACTGCCTTCACCTTATAGGGTTCTGGGTAGTCTATGTCATTGCCCTGGATTTCTTATTTTATTTATTTATGGTTGTTGTAATCATATGTAATAAGGTTTTTCTTCATCTGGTACGGATCATCTGTCAGATGGGCCGCAATCTTTTCGTTACTAATTTCATGCCTGCGGTGAAGGGCTACCTACGTCTCGAACACATTGTTCCTACGTGGGGAATGGCACCCTGATTTTAGGCGTGACGAACGAGCCCCACCTTCCCAACCTTGAGAGTTGTGAAGCTGTATACACATTGCAGCTACGTGCTTCCTGATTTATATGAAATAATAATAGGTGGAGTGAGTGAGTGAGCGAGTTAAAATTTATCGTCACATCGGCAATATTTCAACCATATCGAGACGGGAACAATTAATTTTATACATAGTAATTAATGGTAAATTGTAAAAACCTGTCAACGAAGGACAGTAAAATAACTAGATTATCACAGATTCGAATTTAAAACTAGCAATTGAATCTAAAACAGTTTAACTATAGATGACAATACAAGGTAAAAACAGGCTATATATTGTCCACTGATATGCCACTGAAAGACATCAGGCTATATATTGCCAATAATTAAAGGTAGAGCACCATACTAGGGACAATAATAGGTGGAAATTAGCATAACTTTGATCAAAGTAAACGTTGATGAGATATTTAATAATAATAAAATTGAAAGTGTGCACATATGCTTAATTTTGATTCACCTACTATATAAGTACAATGGAGTTGGAGATTCCTAATATGTGATATGTTTTACAATTACATGAAAGATATTATGATAATATTTCCTAGGTATCTGGGCAGACGTTACCCTTGGATTTCAGCGGACAACACTTGGTTAAAGTTACAGATCGAAGCGGCCAAGCCATAACCTATCAACTATTCCAAGGGGTGCATTACACACCAATGTTTGACATCAAAATACTTCAACAAATCAAAGGTTTCAACATGAGGGAAGATGACATATACTTCTCCGGATATCCCCGTACAGGTAAATTCAAATTTAACTCCAAATATCAGTCAATTAATTAATCCCGATTATCTGTAAAAACAGAATTCATTTGGAGTGGTAGCGAAATAGTTGTGACAAATATATTAATGAAACACTGAAAATCAGCGATGGCGCAAAGCCTTTTTAATGTAGCGGTATCATTGTGCACAAATGCGTCATGTTGACAATACATCTCATCGTCAAAACTTAAATCTATAATGGTCACATATCAATAGTAAAAGCACATTCCCCTGTGCAATTTTTTGCTATATCATGAGCATGTGCATGTGCATGACCATGTCCAGAGTAGATTTGCTCATATATAGTCACAATTGTACAATCGACTCTACGTTTAGTAGATATTCCTTCTGGATGTGAGAAATATGTTATCGCTTCTATTATGGAAATTTATCCAGCTATTGCCAACCACTAACCATATATTAATTGAAAATATTGCTTTGTTTATTTATTATGTAAATATAAAGAGAAAATCGCTCTACTGTTGAACATTGTATATACTTGTACTATGGGCCTGTGGCCTTCAGTTCCAAATAAAGCTAGATTGATTGGAACATTATCAAGCAGTAACAATACATTTGCCTGAATATTTACCATAACAGTTCTGGAATGACTTGACCAGAACATTAATTGGAAAATCTTGAATGAAAAGCTCTAAGTAAAAATGTGCCTTTCAGTCAGCTGCCGAGTAAACTTATTTGTACCTAGTGCACAGTGTTTATGATAGACCTTTTAGCCAGAGTCTTGCCTGAAGTTACATGCAACGTTTACACGAGTGTGCGTAGAGGAGTTTTTGCTCAGCTCAGAGTCGATTAACCGTTGCGCCGTGTTATGACGGAAGTTATGTTCCACTCCTTCATACTAAATTTCAGCTGGTTTTGACATGTTAGTCTCTATTTTTCTTTTCCAAAGGGACAAATTGGACATTTGAAATGACAAGCATGCTTCTTAATGGTAAAGCTGAAACCATCCAGAAAGCGAAGGATCTCATGGAGTTAACTCCTTATGAAGAACTTGCACAGCTGCCATCACCGCGCATCGTCAACTCTCACATGAAGCTGTCTGATTCTCCAGATGATGCAACAGCCCTGAAGTGCAAAGTCATCTACACTATGCGAGACCCAAAGGATGTTGCCGTCTCTCTGTACAAACTCTATTACAACAGACCGTTGACCCTTGGTAGATATCTGGGATCCTTTGAGGATTATCTTCAACTCTTCTTGGATGGAACAGGTCTGAAACTTTCTTCACCCCTCAAACTATAGTTAGTTTAACTATCGACTGATTAGTAATGGAATAATGTATGTTGGGTTACACAAGACAGCTTTCCTATGACCATTCTATATGTTGCTTTGATACCACACAGCTATGGAGAAGATAGAATGTGTCGTTTTGTTACCATTTCTCCTAATCATGCGAAAAGATATGAAAAGAGTTTGTTAAGACTTTTAGTGAGTGAGTGAGTGAGTGATTATGGTTTAACGCCGCATCTAGCAATATCACAGCGCGGGACACCAGAATTGACTTTACAAATTGTACCCATGTGGGTAATCGAACCCAGGTCTTCAGCGTGACGAGCCGACGCTTTAACCATCAGGCTACCCCACCGCCCCACAAAGCT